GTAACATGAACGCGCAGCATTATTTCCACGAAGTTCTAGAACTCCATCTTTTACCCTATCTTGACACCCTGGCAGATCCAACTTTCCAACAAACAAGATAATGCCCGACCACATGTTGCAAGAGTCACAATAGACTTCTTTCAACATAATGATGTCACATTGTTACCATGGCCACCAAAATCTCCCGACTTATCCCCAATTGAGCACGTGTGGGTAGGAGATTGCTCAATTTGCAACGTCCTCCTCAGACTCTAGAAGCACTTCGAGAGGAGTTGGTGGTTGCCTGGAATGAGATACCACAGGAGGACATTGACCACCTGATCAGAAGCATGCCTAGGCGCGTTGGAGAATGCGTAGCACATCAGGGTGCATCCACACATTATTAAAGGTCAAAGGGCTTTAAAGCAGTGCAATCATTTTGAAATTTCTATCATTTACTTATTATGCTTCATTAAGTACTTATACAAAATTTTATTAAAATAAAACCATTTAAACTGGGTGTTCGGATTTATATGTCACTTAGTATAATTTAGTTTTCAATCTTCCTTCTATAGCAACGAATCCTCAAAGATCAAGAGACTGAAATTCCCGTGAGGGGGGTTAAAAATCCCCGATTTTTTGATAAAAATATTATTTTGCTTGGATTAATTTATTTTTTATTATATTCTAATATTACGTATTTGGCTTTAATGAAAAACAAAGCATATTCCCCCTTGCATGCATTGCGGCTTACTGAAGTCATTCAAAACGTTGGACTTTATGCTGGCTACCGGTATGCAGCGCCATCTATTGGAGAGTAGCTGAAAAAAAAATATCCGCATACCTTTCTTGAATGATTTTAAGCTAATTCTATGCATCCTGCTATACGACAAATTTTTATAGAAGCAAAATGATGAAAATTTCAATTTAATACAAAATTGTTTCCCAACTTTTTACACAGGATCGATGGTTTTCCAGTTTTTTTTATCTAACATGCTTATCAAAATGGTGCCAAATGATTCAGCAGTGTCATAACGTTAATTTGAACTTATCATTAGTGGGCAATAAGCTAACGATACCGCTAACAAATTTACTGTCGTCAAAATTGTGGGATTTCCTTGTACAAAATGTGTCAAGCTATGGAAAAGTGGAAGAAGAAGTACAAAAACAAGTGAACATGGCGAACAGAGCAGCAGGATGTCTCAACAATACAATCTGGAGAAACAAATACCTCACAACGGAAACGAAAACTATGATATATAAATCAACAATAAGACCGATAATGACGTACACAGCGGAAACAAGAGCAGATACGGCGAAAACACAACGATTATTTGAAACAGCAGAAATGAAAGTCTTACGAAAAATAACAAACCAAACTCTAAGAGAGTAAGAAGTGAGGAGAAATGCGAGAAAGATGTGGTATAGAGGAAATAAACGTGTGTACCAAAAGAAGAAAAATGGAATGGAATCAACACATAGAAAGAATGACAGAAAATAGAACAGTACGAATAGCAAGAGACAAATCGCCAAATGGAAGAAGATCAATGGGACGACCGAGAAAAAGATGGTCAGACAACATTAATTGAGGCTAAAAATCAAAGTAAAACAGGCATGAGCCTATTAATAAAGTAGGACGAAGAAAATCGGCATATTTATTGCTCCAGAGGGCATCTGGGTATTTAGAAAGCTCCGCAGGGGATGTGATGGCGTTTTTAATGAATGAACTCCTCAAGGAGACCACTAGAGTGCAGTATTATGCAATATATACTAAGTGACATATAAATCCGAACACCCAGTTTAAATGGTTTTATTTTAATAAAAGTTGGTGAATGTATTTATATTACTGTAAATAACAAGTGAAAAAATTTTCAGCCTTATCTGTTGGACATTCCGGTTTTTATACTGCTTTTTTTCAATTCACTAACGCTCTAAAAATGAATATTTCAGCCGCAGTAAAGAATCAACGTTGGCGGATTTTGGTTCTTGACATCCTTTACGATCGGTTACGATGCCTTGAGTACGGAGACCTGTACGATTTCGTCAACTTAGTGAGTTTGATAGGGGCCGTATAGTGGGACGTCGGGAAGCTGGACTTTCTTTTCGGGCAATTGCAGTTAGAGTGCAAAGAAGTGTAGACACTGTGGTTAGATGTTGTCAGGCATGGCTTCGAGAAGGCCGTACGCAAAGAGCAAGGGGCACTGGACGCCGCCGTAGAACAACAGACCGTGAAGATCGCCGCCTAAGATTATTGGCCTTAAGGGACCGTTTCTCCACTACCAGGTCCATTGCAAATGAATGGTTTGCTGAACACGGAAGACCTATTGGCATGCGAAGTGTTTACCGACGAATGAGAAGTTTTGGCTTGGTTTCATACCGGCCACACTGGGTCCTCGCTTTAACTCGAGAACACCGACGTAATCGCCTTTTGTGGTGCAGACAACGGTCACTCTGGGATCAGGACTGGAACAGTATTGTCTTTAGTGACGAGTCTCGATTTTGTTTAGGCATGCACGATGGTCGTGCCAGGGTTAGAAGGCGACGTGGTGAAAGGAGGAATCCACAGTTTTTTGTTGAAAGACATGTTCATCACACTGTTGGAGTTATCGTTTGGGGTGCTATAGCTTATGGTTCCAGGTCACCTTTAATCTTCATCAGAGGTAACATGAACGCGCAGCGTTATATCCACGAAGTTCTAGAACCCCATCTTTTACCCTATCTTGACACCCTGGCAGATCCAACTTTCCAACAAGATAATGCCCGACCACATGTTGCAAGACTCACAATAGACTTCTTTCAACAAACATAATGATGTCACATTGTTACCATGGCCACCAAGATCTCCCGACTTATCCCCAATTGAGCACGTGTGGGATATGATGGGTAGGAGATTGCTCAATTTGCAACGTCCTGATCAGAAGCATGCCTAGGCGCGTTGGAGAATGCGTAGGACCTCAGGGTGCATCCACGCATTATTAAAGGTCAAAGGGCTTTAAAGCAGTGCAATCATTTTGAAATATTTATCATTTACTTATTATGCTTCATTACGTACTTATAAAAAATTTTATTAAAATAAAACCATTTAAACTGGGTGTTCGGATTTATATGTCACTTAGTATACATATTTGCTTCTGGAAATTCTGACAGCTATTTCGATTTTGTGATTGTATTTTCGGCAAAATAACATATTCCTAGATTCTTCTTGATATTAAAATTTTCATGGCACAGTGAACTTCGTCTTTAAAGATGAACCTCTATACAGGGTGTTCATTTGAAAACTTTCTACCATGAACCTAACGCACTGATTAAAAAAAACGCCGAGACGCGTCAAAATACTGGTCAATGACGAGGGAACAACATTTTAATCAAAAACTACTGCACCCCCTTTCACCCTCTAACCCCCAGGGTCATCCCCTTAAAAATTTTGAATGAGAAGGGGTATCGAGTAATAGCTTGTTTAAAAGGTCTTTCGAAGTCCGTTATTTTGACGTTTGATTTTATAAGATCGGTTGATTCGTTTTCAAGAAAATTAGAAAAATGAATCCTAATTTGTTCAGAAAAACGAAAACAACCAAAATATAAAAATATCACCTTCTATTTCAATAAGTGTTCAAAATGTTGTCCGTTATAGGCCAAACAGTGTTATAGGCGATGTTCAAATTTCTGACAGACATTTTCAAAAGCATGTTATGGGATATCATGGCAGCTTTCGATGATGCGTTGACGAATTTCATCCAAGCTTTCAGGTTGGCGAGTAAACACATTAGATTTCAAATGGCCCCATAGAAAAGAGTCTAATGACGTCAAATAAGGAGATCTAGCAGGCCATTCTATAGGATATCTTCGTCCTATCCATTTACCTGTAAACTACTCGTCTAGCCATTGCCGAACCGGAAGAACATAGTGAGGAGGCGGAGCTCCGTCTTGCTGGAAATATATGTCAGCCTCATCAAGTATGTATATGTATTTGGTTTTCAGTGGTTTCACTGATAAGCGGATTGATGGTATTTTCCAGCATATCCAAAGAAAGGTCTTCATTCAAATGTCCATTAATAAACAAGGTCCCAATCACGTTGTTTCCTAAAATGGCTGCGGCCTGCCCATACATTAATGTTTTGGGGTACTGGGTATGCCTATCATTAATCGCATTTGTTGACAAAACTCAACTAGCCTACCGAAATCATATTCAGTTAACTCTTGCAATATTTTCATTTTGAAATAGAAGTTTAGTAATAACTGTGTGTACAGAGCCTAATGAAATACCAGTCGCAGCAACAATATCGCGTAATGAAGTATTAGGATCTATTCCAAATTAAATTCTTTCTGTCCCTTAGTAACAAGTAACTAAACAGGTATAACAATTAATACAGTTCGTCCAGGATATCTGTGTTGATGAAAAGAATGCGGAAACAAATTCGGGTTGTTATTTGGTTGTTGCCACGTCTAATCTTCCGAATTGCTGTTTATGTTGGTAGTTTCCGTTTAAAATTATAAATGAAATGTAAATTTGGCAAACTCTAACGGGCAACATTTTGAACACTTGTTGAAATAAAAAGCGTTATTTTTGTGTTTTTGTTTTCTGTCTGAACAATTTAAGATACAGATTTTTAGAATTTTCGCGAAAACGAATCGAATGATTCTAATGAATCAAACGTCAAAATAAAGGACTGTGAAAGACCTTTCAAACAAGGTATTACTCGATATCGTTTGTCATTCAAAATTTTTAAGGGAATGACCCTCGTGGTCGAGGGTGAAAGGGGGTGTAGTAGTCTTTGGTTAAAAGGTTGTCCCCCTTGACAAATCTTTTGACGTGCCCGGCGTTTTTTCTTCTAATCAGTGGTTTTCGAGAAATCCGTGGTGGGAAGTTTTCAAATGAACACCCTGTATGTACATCCTATCACTGTTGGAGAATACAGTTCCACGAAAGGCCCACTTTCTATCAGTTGTTCTATTCCTTCATCTCTAGATGAAGTCAAAGGGGAAAGCGGCGTGAATGCTTCCTAGCCGGATCAATCGAATGAATAATTATGTAGTAGCATTTATGATGAACTTTTTATTATTTGGTTGCTGGCTCGTATAATCTAATCTTTCTTATTTCCTCCCTTCTTCTTTGGTGGCTCCGGTATATCTTCAGGACGTTCTTCAGCATGTCGTTTTGTATAGTCTTCCGCATTTCTGTTGAACTTCTTTTTGTCATTCATATATTGCTCAGCGACGTCTGCACGCAAAGGACGATCTAAGTCTGGCAGATGTAACATAGCGAGTAGTACCTGGAAGATAGGAAGATGAAGTACGATTTTCAATGTTCTAGTGAATGACCCAACGATAAGCGCCGTTCTTTCCGGCATGTTAGAGTCAAATCTAGTGAAGACATGCATATCGTCAATTGCAGTTTTTTTTTTTATAAAGAAGCAGCCGCGTACGCAGTAGCTAAGGGCTTCGAGGCTGCTCTGAAGAGGTTAGTTACAGTTTGTTAAGCCGATTTCTGAACTGCCTAAGGTTAGTAGAACTAGGATGAGCCTCTCCAGGCAGGTTGTTCCTCATTATCAATAGCGTAGGGACAACGGAGCAGTCGCATCGGCCTGTTCTCGATGTACAGAAGGGAGCTAGATTATCGACAGCCCGATGGGTGCCAAAGGGTCCAGAGACTGTCCGGTGGAGAAGTAGCTCCCGTCAAAATTAATCCATGTACCAAGTCAAGAAGCCTAGGTGTTTCCTCTTAAACTAAACACTTCTGTTTTTGTTTGCTCTCCTCCTTTTTCTTCTCTTTCCCTTTCTCTTTTTCCTTGACATTGTCTGGTTTCTGGGCAACCAGGACTGACAGATTCAACAAACGGTCATTAGACAGGGACTAATTTGCAAAGGTCCTACGGACCGCCCAGACAAACAGATGACGGATAGTTGTAGTAGCTCCCGATTTATGCAGCTCGCCATGATCTTACTTAGAAGGCAGATCTGTAGCCCAACTAGCAAAGTAGTGCTATAAGCTTTTGGTAAAATAACCATTCAACCATAAAAGCTCTCTGTTGTTGTTGCCTGAACACCAAAATGCTGGATTAATGTTGTGTGGAATGCAAATTTGCTTTCTGCAACATATTTGCTTTAAAATGAGGTGTTTAAAGTATTCTTTAGCATAGTTATACAACACCTTATAGGAAAAATTTTTAACTGTTGCATAAACGTTTATACAACTATTTTAAATGGCATATTTGCACGTTGTGTTGTGGCATCCATGGTAACGTTTATAAAACAAACCCGAGCCTTGTTGTTTTGCTGTGCATATTACTACTTTAGCCAACAAGTTGCTCCCAACGGAAGCACTTACAAAACTGTTGTTTAGTAACTGTTAAAGGCGTACATATGCTAAATATGTTGGTATACAACTTCACCATAACCTAACTTTCTGCAGTCATATTTTTGTTAAAATGCCATAACCAATGATTTAAGACAAACAACGCATACATATTGGTTCAAAAGGTTTTATCAACTGTTCAAACAGAAGATAAAGATCTGGTACAAATTCTAGGTAAATCATTGGACTCTGTCGGTATTTCATTTCAGACATTTGTCAAATTGTTGTATAACACCGGCAGGCAACACCAAAATATTCTAATAAACTGAAGACAACATGGACGATGCCATGATTATACACAACCACCAGCCATATTGGGCAAACATTTATTCCTCTATTTAATATTAAATAATTATGTTTCAGTTCGAAATTACAGATATAAAGTGATAAACATTAGTGTAATTGTGTCTAAATATAGGATTTGTGGAAGATTTGTCGCAGATAAGTTCCGTTTTCCATCTTAAAAATCTAGACATACTTTTGATCATTGTCAAAATATGAATCAAATACGAAGCCCGTAGAAATTGCGTAACTACTTTGCACGATAATCATAATAAAATTTGCTCAGCAAGTAACTCAATAGCCCTATATCACAGTGTAGAAGTTTATCACATACCTGTGTATGAAATTCACAATGGCCGATATGTAAGTAAACAAGACGACTGTAATGTGTTAGTTATATATTCTTCACTTCGTCTATGCAATACATAAGAAATAGTTTGGTTGCAATAAAGTAGAATCACGTAACAGAATAGTTGTATAGTTGACAAAAACTGAATCTTGCACTGACGCAAATGTCCTATAGCGGCTGCAAGAGGCTGACACTTTTGTTTTATAACTGTTACCTGCAGCCCTTATACAACCTCTTAAATGACTGAAGTGTCCTATTAGGTGTGCCCATTCCGCTTGTATAGCTGTTCTAAGAGGGTTTTGCCAATGCTCTTACAGTAACCAATGTTGTGTAAGGAATACTGTATAATCATTTTTGCAACTCTAATAGGAGTTATAATTGTTAGTTGGGAGATTTGTAATTGTAAACCGAATCTGTCCCTTATCTCTATTGCTTACCTCTAACATTTGCGCGATTCATATGGTAGATCTCCAGTTTTCTGGTTTCATATAAGGAATGCATACCTGTCCCTTCTCGTCAATGTTAGGATGGTAAATCTTAGTCATAAAGGTGAATATAGGATGTTTGAAGGGATATTCAAACGGAAATTCAATTTGCACCCTGAACGCACCTTGGTCATATGGTGGGTGATCTGGAACGAGGAGAATTTGCCAGAAAAGAGGTTCTGTATCCTTGGCCCTAGCCACTCGGAATGAGCTAAGACCGCGGCTTCTGACTTCCCACAGTTCTTTTTGGATCCTTACCAAAGGTAGATTTTCCAATGGGTTTTTTGATGGAGGAGGAGGTTCTGTCTGGTCATTCTTCTTTTTCATCTAATGGGGATGGTTAAAAAAGTACATATATGCACGATTGATTTGTATGAGATGGGTGTGATGCTTGTGACAGAAATGTGTGGTTATATTTTTGACAAATTTTGATTCTTTTTTGATTGTCAACTTCTCTCTATTCGTCATTGTCCGACAGAGCGGTCGGTGGGACCTTCGCTTTTTGTTAAAGTATCGTAGGTCAGTAGGTCTGTCAGGTCTGGTTGCCCAGATACCAGACGAAGTCAGAGAGAAAGAAAAGAATAAGAAAGAAAGAACTTGCTCGACTGTGTAGTCTACTGACTCACGCAACAGAGGTTTGCTGTGCGATTTCGCTTGACTATAACGTAACTGCGCCTGATTTTGATGTAGTCCCTTAGACCCGTATCGTCAGTCGTCCCTACAATTGTAGGGCGCGTTTATGGCCTCCTTGATTGTCATACTCCTTTCTCTCCAAAAATTTCTAGATGGCACCTGTCCCGTGTCAGCGTCAGCGCTCTCCTATTGTGAAGATATGTTTCCTTTTTAAATTGTAGGAAATTTCAGGCTGATAAAACATGATATAACTCAAAAGCAAGCACAATTTGATGCAAATAGATGTTTGGGAGACAACCTCAAAATAGAGCGCTGACACGGAAAAGTAGAAAACTATGACAATCAAGGAGGCCATAAAGGTGCCCTACAATTGTAGGGCCGACTGACGGTACAGGCCTAAGGTAAAGGATGTCGAGGTCTCTGTGAAGGGTCTCGTTGGAGACATACCATGGTGCGTTAGTGATGGTTTGCAAGGTTCTGTTCTGCAAAACCTGCAGATTACGCATATGCGTTTTGTCAAGAAAGCCCCATGCTGCACATGCGTGAGTGATTGCTAGTCTGATAACCATCTTGCATAGCCGAACTTTGTTAACCAAACTTAATTTTGAGGTTCTACATAGTACAAGGGTAGAGTTGCCGAAACGTAATTTGGAAATTAACTTTTAACGCTTCAGTGTGATTCTGCCAGGTCATCTTCCTGTCAAGAGTGACACCGAGATACTTAGCAGAATTTCCCCATGGTATGCGAGCTCCATTCACTGAAACCTCAGGCGGGGTACCGCTACGTTTTTTAGTACTGCTTTTTCGAGTAATTAATTTTGATTAGCCAGCGATCTGTCCATTCCAATTCCTCATCCACCGCACTTTGTAACCTGTCGTGAATTCCCGCTACGCGACTGGGCCACCAGTGTAGTGTCATCAGCATATAAATAGACTTCACAGTCGCTACGGCAAGAGACATCATGCGTGAAAAGTGAGTAATGGATTGGCCCTAGAACCGAACCCTGAGGGGCGCAGGCTCTAATTTTGATCCGAAATTTCCTACCTTCAAGGAAGGATTTCAAAAGTTTTAGGAGCTAAAGTGGAAAGCCCTTTTGAATTAGTTTATAGAGAAGGCCCTTGTGCCACACCTTGTCAAATGCCTTCGAGACATCCAGAAGCAAGATGCCAGTACTTTCGTTAAGGGTGCTACTATGCTCAGAACGAAATCCAAATTGCACGTCAGGAATCACATGGTGATCTGACGAGAAATTCGCAAGGTGACGTAGAATCACATTTTCAGCGAGCTTAGACGGAGCAGACAGTAGGCTGATGGGACGATAGTCCTGGGGAAATATCGAGCCCACCTTCTTTGGGATCATTATAACTTCCGCAGTCTTCCACGCCGATGGAAAGTTCTGGGTCCTTAGCACAGCATTGATAATAGCCAAGAGATAAGTCAAGGACTTCCGTGAAAGCAGCTTCACCGCCTTATTAGTGATTTGTTCCTCCCCAGGCGCTTCACGCATCTTGAGGTCTTTAATATAACATTGAAGCTCTGCTGGTGTGCAATGCGGGATCTCGGAAGAAGCCGCTGATGTGCTGTGCAACTCTTCAGCTGAAGAATCTTCCGAAAAAGAATCTTCTGAGGAAGAATCACTAATGGCGGCGCCGACAATTTGTTGCTCGTCGTCAAGATCATTATCAAGATCATAGTTGGGAGAGAACTGTCGTTCCATAGCATCAGCGAAAACCTCGACCTTGTCCTCTGTCCTGAAGACTATGCCCTCAGGACCGTGGATGTGCGGGAGTTGTTCTCACTTTCCGTTTCTGAGCGACTTCACCACTTTCCAGAAAGGAGTACTTGTATCCCCGCCAGAAAATCGTTCCATTGCTCATTGCTGAATTCATGGAGAGCATTTCTTACTTCATGAACAAGATTCGCCGCTCTGCGAATGTCATCAGAATGACAAGATTTTATCGCTTGCTTAATTGCAGCCCTTCTGTCAGAAATTTTTTGACGAATGTCTGCAGGGAGTGTCAACTGTCCAGTGCTGCTCAGTCTATCGTTTGCGGCCTGCGGGTTTTGTCACAAATGCATAGTCAATTTGGTTGGCCTCTCATAGTATTCTGATGTTACTATGGTAATTACTGGTTGCCTATGTTTAGGCTTTTTACTATCACTTTGTTATTTAGCGCTGTCAGTCATGAGTTTTATGGTAAATTAAACCCTATTTCACAAGTATCCATTACGTTTTGACGTCTCCTAACAGCTGATCAGCAAGTGACATCTTTGTAGTAGTCTGTAACGTGAGCAATAATGAATCGGGTGTAAGTCTAGTGAAGCTTAAGACCGTATTCAGAGCCGTTGTTCACATATCTAGACACTTTTACCAACTGGAAATTTTGACAGCAAAATTTTCGAAGTACACAAAAAAATGCTTATTAGAAAATTATTATAGTATGTCTGCGAGGTAAGTAAAGTAAGGAACATATTGTGTTGTGTGTTTCAGTAGTTGTAATTTTACATATAAGAATAATATACACACGGGTTTCTGGTTAATTGTTCGTCGTCCTTATAACGAAATTCAAATATGGCTGTTTCATTGCCCTTCAAAATCATATGGTGTTCCAAGTTTTAAAAACTAGACATGATCAGCAAAGTCAAGAACTATTATCGCATTTCATTCATACCTGAAATGTAGTCATGACCATCAGCTGCCATTTTGCTTGTAGGTTTTTTTTTGTATAAGAATAAACCATTCTAATCAAAAGAGTTGTTGGCAAGTACCAAATGAATCCATAGAGTAGAGAAAAAGAAACAACAAGGCTCTGTCTAACGGCGTTGACGGAACCGCCAGAATTGTATGACACTTCGATATGGGGAATTTTGAAATAATACTAGATAATCAGCTGCTATATTTTTACCGTAATGGATACTCGTGAAAAAAGTATGCATCGAAATAAATCTGTAATGTGAAGAGCAGGAATTCGGTATTCTTGAGCACTGATAGAATTATCGGTCCTCGAGTCTCGCGGCAAGAATTGCAGTCTTTTCCTGTTCCATCAGTTTCAACTCTTAAAACGAAGTTAACTTTGATGAAACCTTTAATGATATGAAGAACCTAGGAACGTATTATTTTGCCAAAAATGGATGTATTCACGAACTTCTTTGACAAATGTCAACAGCTGCCAGAATTTCAGATCATTCCTCAGGGAGCGTTCTATTCTAATGCTCTCAAGAATTGAGGTCCTGGCATAATCACACGCACCTTATGGAAACGTTCAACATTCGGTGTGGAATTTTGAATCAAGCACAAAGAATGTTTTTTTGATGAATTCCATTAAATAATGTAATAGCTGCTCACTCGTTCAATGGTTACAAATCATTTTTATCTCTAGTGGTGGCAGTAGTAATAGTAGTGGTAGTAGCAGTAGTGGTTTATTGTAGGAAAAAACAATTTACAAAGGTATACACATTCCAATCATACAATTGTATAATAAACAGGGAAAACCCCAAAAAGATAAACTTGTGCTGGGCATTAATCGATAGCTAGAGGCAGTTAAGCCTTGAAACAGAATAACTTTATAAAAATTCAAACAAAGACAAATGAGCTGATTAAGTAAAACTAAACAAATAAATAAATAGTGTATTAAAATGACCGAAATTTCTTCTTAGTGCAATTTTTTGCTTTTTGAATAAAAAAACTGATTCTTCGCACTTTTCTGCATAAAAAAGCTCTCCTGTGAGTTTTCGTTATAGTTAGCCGTTTTTGGGATATTTCGATATTTAAGGTTCGATGCATTTTTAATTATTTATGGAAAAATAATATTTTTTTTACATTTTCGATTTGGACATTACAAGTAATTAAGACGATCGTTTAGATTGTGTTTTTAAACACAGCGATAATTCCTAACTCCAAATAAACACAAAAAAACAGAATATTAATTTGTTTAATTTTCCAATATTATTTTTAACAAATTAAATTAATTATTTACAACTAAAATGCTATTGGATAGTTAGGACAAACATACAAAATCTAAAGTAGTTGCTCGAAATGTAAACCCAATTGTTCAATACACAATTCACATCTACGAATGATCGAACGTAGTATAGCATTATTCAAATAAGGCCTTATTCAATCACGTGGATTCCTGATTCTGTCTATTAGCATATCTCTTGTGGTTACGGGTGTCTGGTACATTTTTTCTTTTAGAAATCCCCGCACAAAGAAATGTAATGGATTTAGGTCAGGGGATCGTGGAGGCCAGGCGACTGGTCCTCCACGGCCGATCCATCTTTCTGGATAATTTGTCCAGCCAGTTTCTAACTATTCTCGAATAATGAGCTGGACAACCATCAAGCTGGAACCAGGCCAATCTTCTTAAATCTAACATAACATCATCCCACATATTTGCATGTTCAGCCTTTAAAAATTCCAAGAAGGTCGCAGCATTTAACCTCCAGGCAAAAGGTAGGGTCCAAATAGTCGATTACGGTAGATACCAATCCACACGTATACATACAAGTAATTAAGATGATCGTTTAGATTGTGTTTTTAAACACAGCGATAATTCCTAACTCCAAATAAACACAAAAAACAGAATATTAATTTGTTTAATTTTCCAATATTATTTTTAACAAATTAAATTAATTATTTACAACTAAAATGCTTTTGGATAGTTAGGACAAACATACAAAATCTAAAGTAGTTGCTCGAAATGTAAACCCAATTGTTCAATACACAATTCACATCTACGAATGATCGAACGTAGTATAGCATTATTCCAATAAGGCCTTATTCCATCACATGGATTCCTGATTCTGTCT